GGATCTGGCGGGGACGGCATGGCGATTGGCGGCGCTCCGGCGGCTCCTGGCGCGTGGATCCGGCGAGTGGGCATGCGGACGGTGGCTCCTGGCTGCTTGACGAGGCTCCTCCCGGCGGTGATGCGGCTGCAGTGGGGTGCTCCGGCTTCGGCCCGGCAGCCCTGCTCGGCGGGTTGGGGCGGGGTGGCGGCACCCCCTCCCGGCTTGGTGCTGTGGTGCTGGCCAGTTTGCCAGCCCGGCATGGTGGTGGCTGCCGGGGCGGCGGCCCCGAATTTGGTGGAAGCGGCTTCGGCTAGGGGGTGGTGCGCGCATCTGGGCGTGGTGGGCCTCGGGATCCCACGACCAGTTCGAGGTTGGCCTCGGCAGGATGGGGTTCGTTGGTTGTGTTGGTGCGGGCAGGTGGTGGTTGAGCATCTCTGGGAGAAATCCTATGTCCGGCCTCTGCCGGATCTGGCGACGGCGACACCCGTGGGCGTCGTGCTCTTTCTTGGAAGCGTTGCTGATGTGTGGTGCTCCTCCCCCCTCCCCGCGGCCTTGGCTTTAGAGGGAAACCTCAGATCTTCGAGATCGGGCGATGAAGGCGCCTTCACGTCTTCTTCCTCCTTGGGGGCATCGTCTCGGAGCCGGCCACAACCTGGAGACCAGTGGATGGCGGCATCTTAGCCGCGTGGTTTGCGGCATCTTCGCCGCGTAGTTTGCTGAGGCGGCCATCTCGAGGGCGCTGATTTCTGTTTGGCAACGATAATGGCGTCGAGAGGAGCTTTGGTCGCGGCTCGGGCTTCGGTAGTCGGATCTTCCCGGCGTGTCCGAGGTGCTCTTCCGTTGGTTGCTTGGTTGCTTTGAAGTCGGAGCTGCGGTGGAGTTATCCATGCGGTGACGATGACAGGCGCTCGGTGGTCGGCTACGGCAGGCACGGTCGGCGCAAGTCCTGCATATTCCCTTGTGATGATCGCCGTCAGAGTCAGAGCTGTCAGTTGTTCGCGCGTGTGGCCATCTGTTGGCATGTGTTGTCATGGTTTCAGTGCAGCTGTCTTTGTAGCTCTATGATCCCATGTCGGTGGCCAGGTTGGCCGGTGGTACCCATGTTATATGGGTTGGATTGTATCGGTTTTAACCCGGTTTTCCGTCAATTAACCGGGCAACTCTCACTCCTTCTTAATCAATGAAAATGGCAAATCTTTTGCCTCGTTTCAAAAAAAAAACACTTGCTAAAATTTGCAGCAGCAACATGCGGGCAAGAAACTAGTTTATAATCATTTTTTATAACAGCGAATGTCATAAAAACTTAAGCTCATCACATTATTTTATTGATGATTCGATCAGTAATCTGCTCGATCTGAAACAAGGACAACAGATGGAGGTGGAACACATGCAGAAAACAACAATGAACAGACGCAGAGAGCAGCAACAGTAGACACCGAGTCGGCTAGCTAAGCCTGGTGTGATGATGATGCTCGTAGATAACTTAATGAAGGCTGCAAACACACAGACACAAAAGCTCAACGATTAGTCTTACTATTTATACTTACAAATTAAGATTAAATGGCTAACGAGTACTTAGAATATAATCTTTCAAGTTAGGAGTGGAGGATGTACTTGTTGCAGTTGACGTTGTTGTTGATGGGGAAAGAGACGGAGACGCCGCACTTGCCGGGGATGTTGGCGGCGTTACCCATGCTGATGCCATTGAACGACCCCGCCAGGTTCTTGAGGCAGCGGCACGCCGCCTGCCGGTCTGCCGAGGTGGACGCCTTACCGTTCAGGGTCCTCACCCCGCTGCAGCACCCCGCCGAGGGTGACGATGCTTGCCCCGTCGCGTAGGACATGCACGGCGCGATGGCGGACGTCACGTCGCTGCAGGTCACCGCCCCAGACGCCATTTCCGCCACCGCCAGTGCGGCGAGCACGCTGAACACGGCGAGCAGTGCCACGCGAGCCATCGAGGATCTAGTGCTTCAGCTTCCTTGCTGGAAATGGAGCTGGGAAGGAGCAGAGAGCTTGATTGGCTTGTGTGGTGGTGGTGGAGATGGAATGGAACTCCGTGGAGCGGGGTATAAATAGCCGGCTGGTGAGAGCTGGCAAGAAGAAGAAGAAAAAGATAAGGTGTTCCTGCAGCATTGCACTGCTGGGTGGCGGACGGTGGTGCGTGCATGCGCAGTACTACGTAGCTAGCGGGGCATGCATGCATGCATGTGCATGAGGGTGGTTGGGCGCTGGGGACCGTACGATGAATCGACCGGTCGCGTCCACTGCACGCATGTGACACTTTTTATTTACACACAATACGTTATATAAAATCTCCCTAGTTTAGAATTTGGGTCAGTCGATTTTCACGTGAAGAAAGAAGCCCAATGATGACGTCAAGGACTCGGATGCGAGCGCGTGTCCGAGTCCTTGGATGTCAGGCAGGGGCGAATGCACGTACAAGCTTGTGGGGGCGAATGCCCCCACTCCTTTTTTTCAGCTTACGTGTACCAGGCCAGAATATACAGAGCTGCCCCCACTCAGCCCAAGCTATTTGCCCCACTTCCTTTTTTCCCCCTGCTGTATGTTGAAAGCCCGTCTATGAAAATTACACAGGGTTATAAGCCCAGGAGCCCATCCTCGATTTGCTAGAAACGTACGAGGTCTTTCGGAGTTTCAGATGTGTTCGTCGCCTGTGCTCGCGTGACGCCTTTACAAGCCGTAACCGCCGCGCCGCCGCCTGTGGCTCTAGGCTGCACATACACCTCGCCCCTTTGGCGATCAGCCTCGATCTGCACTGCGCACGCCAGCCAGCCGGCCCGCCATGCGCCATCCCCAAGGTAGAAGCCGTACTAATCAATCATTCAATCAAGGTAAGCCCAAGGTTTAGCTCTCTTCTTTTCTTTCTAATTTCTCCATTATTATTTTATTCTGATTTCCATGTCAAAGAGGTAGTGAATTGTATCAAATATCCATATGTATAAATTATAATGTACAAATTGGTAATTAGGTTGATTGAATCTAGGTTCCCGTGATAATTCCATATGGATAAGTTTGAACACATGGGAGTAAAATAAAATCTATAGTAATATTCTTCCTTCACGGTCTCAATTTATTTAACCTTAAACTATTCGGCATTGACAGGAAAGCTAATGGAGAGGTGTTTATCTGTCAATGTTTATATGCTCTCTATATTCAAACATATTTCTTCTTCATGCGGCTTGAAGGCTAGAAATGAGGGGCATACCAACAAAAAGGAAAGACATATTCAAGTTATTGTGCCTCAAGTGGTTAGTTTACTCTTACTTTGGCAATGAACTTATCATAATTAATTAATTATGTGTGTGATAACATTATCTTATAAGAAAGTATGTGATTTTGCTTCTTACACATTAAATGCATGGTTGTGTGTTTTTTTTAATTATTTAGCCATTAGTTCGATATATATTTCGGAAAAAATTACATATACATCTTTGCCCCCTCTTGGTTTTCATCCTGGCTCCGCCCCTGATGTCAGGGAACTAGCGGTTGAAGGCAGCGTAGGAGTCGGAACTAGCAGTTGAAGGCAGCGTAGGAGTTGGACCGTGCTGCACCGCGAAGAACAGGGCGTGGGGGAAGCCCATGCCCACATCCTCGTGAAGCAACAAACTTGGGCCGCCCGTGCCCTCGCCGGCATGCCTCCAGAATCGGACGAGATGTTTGTTGTCTTTGTTGTAGTATATGACGCCGTTGTTGAACTTTTGTTGTCCTATGTCATCCGATGTTTGAACTATGTCCTATGTATGCTATCTACATATATGTTGATCGATGTTCCATAACTTTGTATGGATTTGAGGGTTCGTAAATGAGGAGCATTGTTACCCGAGCGGACAAATGGGGGCTGAGCCGCGGAATTCCCTATCCGCCGCATTTTGCGGCAAAATGCCGACCTGCCGCACACCCCTTGACCGTTCGTGGGCCGGCCCGTGTCGGATGCATCATACAGATGAAAATCGCTACAGAATTCCCTATCCGCCGCATTTTGCGGCAAAATGCCGACCTGCCGCACACCCCTTGACCGTTCGTGGGCCGGCCCATGTCGGATGCATCATATAGATGAAAATTGCTAAAAAAAAGTGAAGAGAGGGAGGATTTGGACCTCAAACCTCCCACTTCTAGAGATTTGAGTATAACCACTCGACCATAACAACACTAGTGTTCTATAAGTGCAAAGAGGCCTGCTATTATATGTTTCTTTCTTTCACGTTTTTTCGTTTTTTGTTTTCCTGTTTCTTTCTTTCTTTTATTTTTGTTTTAGAAATATCGCAACTTCAAAAAAGTTCAATATATTTCATACTTTATTCGGCTTTTTATAAAACATGTTTGATTTTTTTGTTCAGGTTTCAAATAACATTCCGTGCTTTTCAAAAAATGTACAAAATTTGTTCATGTTTCAAAATGTGTCCGGTGTTTCAAAATTTGTTCATGATTTTCAGAAAATGTTCGTGTTTTCAAATTTGTTCAGATTTTCAAAAAGTTTTGGAATTTCACATTTGTTCCCTCTTTCAAAATTTGCTCGTGATTTTCAAAAAATGTTCGTGTTTTCAAATTTGTTCAAATTTTCAAAATAGTTTTGGAATTTCACATTTGTTCCCAATTTTCGAAAATTGTTCGTGTTTTTCAAAAAATTATTCGCATTTTCAAAAACTGTTCATGTTTCAAAATTTGGATAGACATTTTAAAAATGTTCAAGAATTTTGAAAAATGTTTGTGGTTATAAACTTGTGTTCATACTTTCACGAAATTTTCCATTTTTAATTTTTTTGTTCACCAGTTCAAAGAATGTTCCCTGTTTGAATTTTTCTTCAGAATATCACGAAATATTCCATTTTTCAATTTTTTGTTCACAAATTCAAAAAATGTTCGTGGTTTCAAATTTGTTTGGAATTTCATTATTTGTTCACAAATTCAAAAAATGTTCACGGTTACAAATTTCTTTAGAATTTCATAATTTGTTGACACGGTTTCAAATTTGTTCGGAATTTCATAATTTGTTAACAAATTCAAAAAATTGTTCACGTTATCACAAAAACAATTTCTGACTTTTCAATTTTTTTGTTCACATATTCGAAAAACTTTCTTGTCTCTATTTTTTTATGAATTCAAAAAATGTGCGCACTTTTTTAAAGAGACACATTCGAAGAAACTATACTTTAAAACAAATCAATACAACAAGTAATTTTGGGTTCACTACAGCAATCGTTTCCTGTTTGCTACAGTGCACAAGTCAGGTTTAGTTCTTTAAAACATGCGCTGCTATCCACCGATGCGTCCTCAGACATACATGGGGTCAAATTAAGTAAGTCTGGTTGGAGATGCTCTAAGCTAGCGTGATAAGGCCCCTGGGCGGGGGCATTATCTATAAGAGTCCAATCTATATATGCAGCAGAATATGTTGTGTCTGACTATATGTCTCAACAATGCAAATGAGTTATATATATATATGTATATATATAATTCCTAGTATGATGTATGAATTACACAATTAATCCATTAATGCTCAATTATTGAGGGTTGGGGCAAGTTGGAGAAAGGCCAAATTTTTGGTATTGCTAAAGTTGTTATAGAGTTTTTTTTGCGGAATAAAGCTGTTATAGAGTTAGGCATGACACACTCTTCATTAGCCATAATCAGTTTAAATTTTAGATAAACAATATCCTTCCTACTTATAAAATTCGACTTGGTGGTCATTTGTTCATTTCCTTCTCAACATTTCTCTTTTAAACCATGCCAAGTGGTCACTACTGGAATCAGCTTCTTTGCCGTCCGTCATGGCAGACGGCAAAGGCATAGATCCCGGATGGCAAACTCCTTTGCCGTCAGCCAGCGGACGACAAACTGTCCGTCTGAACACGTGCCAGCAAAGGCCTTCTTTGTCGTCCGCTTCTTAGAAACGGACGGCAAAGGATTGTGCCGTCCGCCATCCGAGGCAAGCAGACGACAAAGAGAACGGACGACAGTGGGGTGGGGTGAGAGCCGTTAGGGGGTTAACGGCGCTCTTTGCCGTCCGCTGACAGACGACAAAAAGCTCAGCTAGGCCATCACTGGGAAGCTGCCACGTGGCCAGCTATGCCGTCTGCCAGCGAACGGTAAATTGACCAAATAGGCAGCCAGTGTTCCCAGTTTATACAGGTGGCTGCCACATGTCCTCTTTTCCATCCGCTAGCAGACGGCAAAGAAGCTATATATCCCCTGTTTTTATTTATATCTTTTTAATTTCACAGGAATTCACACACAGATATACATTTTTTTCACAGGCACAACAGACATATGATGTATCCAACACATAGCTCTACCCATGACAACATACATACATAAGAAACACAGTTCCATCCATACATATTACAGTAATATCACAATGTTCATCCAACACATTGTTCCATGCATCCATATAACAAGTTCCACAATTTTCATCGATACAAACGAAAAGAAGAACAGGGAGACAAGCAATCCATCCATGCAAGCTTCCATATAGTGAATTAAATCTGCAAAATGGAAAACAAGAAAGTTAGAAGAAGAAGACTAGAATCAGAAGAAGAAGAAGAAAATGAAGAAGAAGAAGAGGAAGAAGGAGAAGTTAGCATACTTAGGTAAAATGGAGCTAACCTAGCTACTTATGCCATTTTTGAGTGAACTAACCTAGGTAACTAAGCATATTAGAGCTAACTTAGAGCTAACTTCATTTTGGAGAAGAAGAAGAAAACTAGAAGAAGAAGAAGAAGAAGAAGACTTTCTTCTTCTTCTTCCTATTCTTTGATTTTCTTCATCTTATTATGTCATTTGTGGACTAAATAGGCTAAATTATGTCATAAATGGACTAAATAGGCTAAATAAGAAGAAAAATGCCATTTTTGAGCTTAAGTAGCTAATTATGCCATTTTTGACCTAACTAAGCTTATTGTGTCATTTTAGAGGACAACAAGCTAAGTATATGACA